GCAGAGAGATGGGCCCACACTGATGGCACCTCAGCTGCACCGCTTGCTGGAGGTGGTGCAGGGATATGCCAATAGCATCCCTCCCATGGCCCCGTGTGTGTACCCAGGGCTGCTGTCTGACGTGAGAAGGGCTGGGTGATGCTCGGTGCTGTTGCTTGTGGAGCTGCAGTGCCTCTCACAAACGTGCTAGCAGGTGGCTGGAGATCCCCTGGGGACGGACGTCCCCCATGCCAGCGTTTGCTGTCGCTTCCTGTGCCTGTTTCTGCTGGCACGCAGTGCTGTGCTATGCTGCTTTTTTTCTTTCGGGTTTAGATAGCTATATTATTGAAAGAGATAAGAGGGAATTGCAAATAAGGCCAGTAAAACATTAATGTCATAGTGACTCCCTGCATCTTCGGTATGTGCTGTACAGCATTATGTTTGCATATTCTACAGAAAATCATGCTTTCTTAAAAAACAAACTATTTATTGGCATTATTTATGATCTCTTCTGGAAAATAGGAAATTACAAGTGCCTTTGTATCCTCTGTTCGGCTGTTGGGACCCCTGGAGACGGGAGAAAAGGTAGCACCTTAAAACCTTTGGAGTTCTTCGGAGTAGTTTAAATTGTCTTAACTCCACATATAAACATCATGACTTTGATGCCTGGACTTTGGTCCAAGATGCCTCCAGGAAACAAGGTGGCAGTGAGAGGAGATGCTTTGGGTTTTCTGTACATACCTGGGTACCCATACATTCCCTTTGCCCTGTAACCATCTTTAAACCATTACACCTTACATCTTAATACCGTCAGTCTGTGCTTTGCAGGCTGTAGTCGGCTGATCACCTGAATTTCCTGGACTCAAAAATAATAGTAATAAGAAAAGATTAACACTGAGAGTAACAAGAAAGGGAAACCTCTGCCTGTCAGCAGGAGCGGCTTTGCGAGACAGGCAGCTGGACTGCTACCGTAAAATTTTGTGGTGCATTAGGATTATTTGTGTCTTCCTTTCCCCCAAAACACACTCAGTAATGCCTGCATGTTATTTGAGCTCGAGCACCTTTTAGAGAAATACTTAGTCTTGCTTTAAAGGCTAATTGAAGGCTACCACATCTCTGGGAAAATCCTCCTAAATATTTAGTGTGTCGTGTTATAAATCCCTGACAATAAAGTAAAACGTCCCTCCTCCCTTTCAGAGCATCTCTGAGGTAGAGAGGACTCGAGGCTTCCTATGCATTAAAAGAAAAGCATGTGAGTAGTGCAAAAGAAATTACTTCCACCGTGTAATTTCGCGTACTGCTGCCATATGTGCCAGCTCTATTCCTTTAGAAACCAGTGGCGTATGGGTTTGGTTGGCTGGATACAGGCTGTGTTCCCTAGTCAGGAAGCCACTTGGCTTTGAGAAATTGAATTGCATTTATTAACTCTGAAATGCTGTCGAATTAAACAGCCGTTAAGCACCGACACTGTAATCTCATATTTGTAATGACCCTGGAGGTTGTGGATAATGAAAATATAAATGCCATGGCCTGGAATGAAATTAGAGACCTCATAATCACTAAAGATGGGGTTGGCATCCTTCATGTTTTCAAAGGGCTGGAAATCAATATCGGGTCATTACAGGGTTGAGGGAGGTCTTGAAAACCTATGGGTGGAAATCTGGAGTTATTGCTCTGTGCTAGCAAGTTCATTCTGCCTCCCTAACCGGCTCCGAAGCCTGGCTCTGTCGGTATTAGTGGGCACGTTTGGTGGAAGTATTGGCCCCAAAGCAATGGTTGTGGTCGCAGCCCTTGCCGGCACAGACTGCGCACTGAGCGAGGACTGAAAACACCACAGGGCAGCACTGGGTTCAGGGGAGAGGAGCATTAAAAACTGCTTATATAGAGGATATGCAGCATGTTTCGACTTGGTCAAATAGCTAAATACCTTTTTCTCTTCTAAAAGAAAATCATGGCTAGGGTTTGTTGGGCGCATTCCCGCTGTGGATAGATGAGTACCGGAGAATCCTGAGCCTGGGGTGCTGTTGCTGTGCCGTGGTGCTGCTGTGGATGCTGCCTATGAGCTCGCTGCTTTTAATCAGCAAATCCAGTAATGAACCTGCTTAATGGTTTCAGTCCCTTGTCTCTGCACTTCTACAACTTGAGCTTTTCAGGATTTAAAAGCACAGCCTGACACCTCAGGAAAGCATCCCAGTGGGGCTCTGCACCGGGAATTGGGCAGCAGCCTGGATGAAAACCTCTGGCAGTGCTGGATTTCAACCGAGGGCAGGATGCGATCTGTCTGGGCTTCCCCATATCCTTTAGGTAACGTTTGTTGGGAAAACGGCAGCACTCTCTGTGGGTGAGTTGCAGACAAGTGCCATCTCTGTGCATTATTCAGCTGGAAGGAAAGAAAACTGCATCGAGAAGCCTCTGTTAAAAAGGAAGATAAGTTATTCCTGGGCAGCTCACGTGGCTCAGCAACAGATTTTAGTCTGGAAACTGCATATTAAAAGTATTTAGTCAAGCTGCTGTTCTTTGCAGCCTGTGATGAATGCACCAACAAGGCAGTAAGGCTATTTATTTTGGTTTTCTCCCTAATGAATTTTTATATTTATTTATTATGTGCTTCTTTATAGACAATCTGTTTGAGTGAATAACATTTGCCTGGGAACCGATTTTTTATCTCAAAGGTAGTTCAATAAAATGGTTCATAGTCCCATGTACCAGAATAATCCGCATTTAACGCACACAAACCCATTGAAACCTGAACCAACAGGATCGAAGCGTGTTGTCTCCAAAATGATGCCAGGCACTTTTAACCTTGGTGTTAGTTTCCCTGTTCTTATTATAGCCTCAATCAACTGAAATAGCTGAAGGAAAAAATAGTCTGGGGGCGGGGGGAGAAGAGCACGTTTGCCTTTAGCACGTTCTTGAGATCTTGAGTGTGGTGGCCGCTCGTTTCTCTGTGGCTTTCTGCAATAAGACCAGCCCAGCTTTGAGACCCAGCCGACATGTGGCCTCTTTTGGCATCCCATGCTTTGTTGATGTTTTAAAAATAACTCTAAAGCACGGGTCTAATGCCAGGTTAAGGTGCCGGGATGACGATGCTGGAAATCACTGTCCTCCCCTGGTAGGCAGGAGAAGAGGCAGCTGATGTCCGGGGGTGGCATCCCTTCAGCCCCTGGAAGCTGCTGCCAACCGCACGGGCTGTTTGCAAAAGATGGGCGCGCAGAATTAAATGGGGATCCCTGGTTCAGCTCGTCCAGGTCAGCGAGCAGGTATTTGATGGTGATAATGATCAGACCCGATTTGAACTAGGAATGGGTGAAGCCAGCAAAGTCAGGGCTGTACCATCCCGCATCTCCAGTGCACGTCTAAAACCTGTGCTTTTTCTCTATTAATTTAATCAAGGCGGATTATTTTTAAAAAGGCTCCGCTGTTCATTAAGGATATAATTATCTTTATAACTAACTGCTTGTGGCAGATTTTTCCCTCTCCTGATTTGCAGTCAGCCAGCAGTTGGTTTTCAGCATGCCTGGGTTTTGATTCCCATTCTCCTTCCTCCCTTCTCAGCTGGTTTTGATTTGATTTTACTTACTAAGTGAATTTGTTGGGGGAAAGAAAAGCATTTGTCATTCTGCCCTACGCAGAATCAGGTCTAGGGACATGTAAGATAAGTCCCATTCCTGGAAATGTGCTTGGCAGCCGCTAGTGGATAACAAGGCCATACCATAACTCGTGCTGATACATCTGGGAAACTGAGGCGAGGAGAGAAACTGGACCAGGGTCCTGGCTCTTTGAACAGCCTATTTCAGTGTATTTAGTTATTAATAGTATTTAACAGCAATACTATATGGCAAAAAGTGAATCCCTTGTGACCCAGCTAAGCAGGACTGTCCTGCACTGGGCGATGCGTTGCAAAGTACCAGCGTTTATTTTGCATTCTAATTTTGATCAGATATTCTGCATCTTACAAGAGCCGTTATGTGGAAACCTGTATCAGAACGATGTTAAATTATCCTTCGTTTGGGGAGGGATCAGCTGTTGCATTGTAGGTGCAGGAAAGCTGCTTTCTGAGGTGCTCCATAGAATATTGAACTTGGAAGAGGAATAACATAGTGCAGCAGTATCTGTGCTACCCGAGCATCTCCTGAGCATGGCAGGGATGCAGCAGGAGGGGCTGGGGAAACTGTTTTCTGTGGGCTTGCTGAGGCAATCGCTTGGTAACTTTTGTGAGTTGCTATATCGTGCAGTAATTTAGTGCTTTGGAAGCCTTACGCCGTCCCAAAGCATTTCCATGTTTCTTAAATCTCTCAAATCCTCAGAAAACTAATCACTTTGATATTTAGAAGAACTGGAGTTGTCCTTTCCACGCAGAACCTAAATGCCTTTAATCTGATTTATTAACTCGGTGTAGAAAACGGGGACTTCATTCAGTGGGACCGTGCTCCAGGGATTATTCCCCTTCATTTTATGACATAGAGCAAAATAAATAGATAGCTTTTTTTTTTTCCAGCCAGCACTAATGAGATATTTTGCATACAGCTGAACATAGTCATGAAACCCAAAAGGATATCTGAGGTTTTAATTTTGGCATCCTGTTGTGTCTGCGCAGGAACGTAGTGATTTATCCATCGAGCTGATACTTTGATGATTTGTAGCCATTTAATTTTTTGCTAGGATGGGGTTGTTTGAGTTTTTGCAATCATTTTGTAGTTATCCGAAGCATTACAAGAGGGCATAAAATAAACTGCGTAAAAATAACTGCCAGTGAATTATTTGTTGAAGTTGAGGTAGGAGCCAGCTGCCTGAAAGCAATGCCTGTTTGGGGGCTTTTTTTTTTTTTTTTTTTCCTAAGCAAGTGCCTTATTAAGCTGATGAGGCAGGACACTTTCAGCTAGCGGATTTGATGGTATTTTTGTTAATTGGTGGTCGGGGTTCCCGCTCGGGCTGGCCTGTGAGTTGGAGGGAGGAGGGACAGGGCGGCACGGGTCACCCATGGGCAGAGGGGACTGCAAGGCAGGAGCTCTGCCACGCCGATGCCGGGCAGGAGGCGGGCGGTGTTATCGGCAGAGGTGGGCAGGTGCAATCCCAGGTGGGCAGGCTGAAGGCCGTAGTGGTTGTCATTTCAGTCTCCCAAATTGTTTTCCTCCCTGCAGAGCTACCGCCCGGGGTGCGGGGGATCCCGTCTCCGGCTGCAGGACCCCCCAGGCATCTCTGAAAGGCGCTTCAGGCTGGGTCCCTCGTCCTGTGGGAAAGCAGCTGCCGTGGCAGGCAGGGGAGGCGGCGGGTCCTCGGGGGGTTATTGTGTGGTCCCTTTGGCAGGCAGCGAGAGCTGGGATGCGGCGAGGAGGTGTTGCACTGGGAAGAGAGTTGAGGGCAAAGGACTCCTGACAGGCTTCATTAGCCTGCCGCTCACAAAGCGGCCCTAATTAGGGACCTAGCTGTGGAGCTGATTGATGGGTGCAGTGGAGCATACTGCAGCCCCGGTCCTTGTGGTGCCGCAGAGCTGAGACGGGGCGGCAGGGTCTGGGTGCTGGCTCCAGCGAGCAGGGACCGGAACTGCTCCGCTCACCTCGCCACAGCCGGAGGAAAGCAATTGCAGCGCTCGAGTGCAATGTGCTTTGGTAAAAACGTGGTGCCCGGTATTGCTTCAGAGCGAGTCGTAGACAGTGCGTTCATCAAAAGATCATCGGGATGCCAAAAAAATAGGTAGGGATGGGCAGAAATGGTATTGCTTTGGTGCTGTGTGCCCTGTTTGCAGGTCCGAGGAGGGGACCAGGAAATGCAGCGTGCTGGTACAGGGCTGCTGCTGGCGCTGAGCTGGCGTTTGTGCCGACAGCCGCGTCCGGCCGCCGGTGTGCAGCTGAGCTGGAGCCGATGCTTATTCGTGATCCTCTTGTTTCCGTTTGACCTTCTCCTGTTACTACCTTTTACCATAAATAAGTCTTCATGCCTGGGGATGTTTATCCCCAGAAGTGTTTCTGGAGCATCATCACGCTGCCTCCAGCAAGGCACAGCCCTCGCACTGGCTCCCACGCTCATCCGGGCCACGGTCCCACAGAAATGGGACTTCTGGGGACGCTCCTCTGGAAGCAGCGGTGGGATGGCACTGGCAGGACCGCAGCGTGCTCTTCAGACCCATCACATGTTGTGCTTTGTTCCCAAAGATGTGGAAGCCTTTGGCCTCTGTGGAGGGCATCTGCCGCCTGAGCTTTCCGTGTGGCCAGGTCCCTAACAGGGGACTGTCCCCAGCCTGGCTGAGGAGGGACTGACTTTCTCTACCGATTCTGCATTCAGGTATCTGCTGTCTTCCAAGCTAGCAAGGTTTTACACTTACCCTCGCCGCAGCTTACACCCCTGGCGCGGCATTTATACCATGGCATCTCCTGCCATGGTGGTCTCATTTTGCTGGGATTTAATGGAATTAGCTGGCAAGTATTTATTCAGGGTTGGGGGAGGCTGTTTCATGAGCAAGCCCGGATGGAGGGATGCAGCACACAGACTTGAGGAGTCCAGGGTGAGGCCCACGGTGATGCTCTGCCCCGGGACTGCAGCGCCCGCAGCTCGCTCCCCGAAGTGGCACAAGCAAAGCCATAACCACATGCGTGTTTTTCAGGGGAATATCTGTGTTCCTATAATTGAGCTTTCCTAGCCCTGTCTCTTTTCACTTAACGTTTTTTCCCCTGCTGCAAGGTTTGCC